GAGCTGAAGCATCATCTTGCGATCACGTTGCAACTATGGTCTCCAATCTTGGATGGCGTACTCTGTGTAGGGTCGAATTTACACTGATAGCAAATGTGCGAACAGCTCTGATTCAAACCGACCAAAGACTCGACGAAGTAAGCCGACATTCCTCATTGCAGCGGACGAAGTCTTAGCGCAATTGATGGAGTTGCTTAAATCCTCTTGAACAACAATACCTACGTATTTTTCACTTGAAGTATGTGGTAGCTGCCGATTTCCGAGGAAATACGCGAATCTTATCTTGTGGGGTAGGGATAGGACTTTGTTTTTAGAAACATTGAATTCAATTTTTCGATTTCCACTTGTGCAACCAATAACCATGCACTATCGTGCGCCGGTTTTGGTTGCTATCTTTCAACTGCACATTTGGATGAACATTAGGAGGAAGACATGGAGTTTGAAAGTAGCATCGAAGAGAAAATTGAAAAGTTCAGTGGAATAATGATACAGATAAATTGAGAAGATGCACGAACGCCACTGTACAACACCCAGCCAGTCTCTAAGCATCGGGGACGACCATCCCGAGGTCCCCATCCAGGGAGCCTAACAGGACCTATGTGACCCAGACTCCTGGTTTTCATACCATCATGCCAAGTCTTAGCTTGACCACCCTTGGCTTTATTCCACCAACTACCTGTCTCCGCAAACATCGCTCGCCGTGGCAACCTATTNAACTCATGTCCCAACCAGCGTAATCTATGAAGGTCGATCACTGGCTCCAGTGGACGACCGCGGTTGCCTAAAACTTTTCGCTTGATTTGAGTATTTCTCGTCCGGCTACCCCACCAGATTCGTGCAATGCTGCGTAGACAGCGATGTTCAAACACCGACAGTCTATCTTTGTCCTGTTTTCTTAATGGCCAATTTTCTGCTTCATATAGCAGAACTGGTCGAACTGCTGCAGCATATATTCGACCCTTCACAGACAGCCGGATGTCGCGACGGTGCCACAGATATCTCCATTTGGCAAATGCCAACCGAGCCTTTTGTATGCGAGCTGACACGTC